TTTATTATTTTATCTGAACACTTTTACATTACGTTCAGTGTTCGAGCCCACACATGTGCTGTACATGTGGGGTTTTAATTGTGGTTTTAGTTCACAATACTGTTGGTTTTCCCTTTTTAAGCGCGCACTGCTGCATCTTTTCACTCACTGCTGCTTGCACATAACGTTTAAACTACTAACACTGCTGTGGTTTATCCGATAGCTCGAGCAGAGATTAGTCTTTTTGTTTTTTGGGCAATATTTAAAGACACTCTGGACAAAAAGTAACTTGGTGTGTGGAGAAGAAAGTAATGAATCTCGCCGTTAAACCTTGAACTTCCAGGTCTTTCATTATGTTGTGACGGGTTTAAAGTTTGGTAGAGAATAGCACGAGGTTGCAGACCTTCTCTTTAAGTGTAAATGCGTGTTTGTGAGGACTTTATTTGATTTACCTTCATAAATAATAAATAAAAGCTGGAAATATTTAAACGTCAGAAGCTAGAATCCGCAAATTTTATACATTTAAGACTTGAAAATATACCGTAAACGTTTAATTCAGAATCAACACTGATGTCCGTGTATTTTTCTAAGTGATGAATCCACTAAATGTTTAATGTTTAATCTTTATCGTTGTTTATTCATGAACAGATACTCGTTAACTGAAGGTTTTGTCTCGCAGATGGATCCTGAACAGGATTTACTTCTCGCTGCCCTGAGCGAGAGCGGCATTTGCCCAAACGATATCGGCCTATTTGATGTTGATTCTCAGGATGTTGCACAGCCCTCTACAACCCAGCAAGTAAGCCGACCTTACGTTTCTGTTGCTCTGGAAGTGATTTAATTCACGTTTTCTGTATGTTAATGTTGTGATTTCTGCTCCAGTCTATCTCCATCAGTGCCCTGGATGTTGGCGTGGGGACAGAGTCGGTGGACGTTCGACCTGAGCCTCCAGCTCCAGTCCCTATAGTCACTATCAGGGTGAGATTACACAACATTAAGTTCCCTTAATCAATTATTAAAAGCACAAAGTAATGTTGCTGCAGCTGCTCTGTGTTAAAATCTTCTCTCTCTGCGTCTCCCAACAGCACAAACCTCAGCCATCAACCACCACGTTTGTCTTAAACCAGCTGAATCAGTTGCCGTCACTGGGAGCTGCTGTGACCAAACAGTCGGCAACGAACAACATCAAACACACCATAACCGTCACCAAGGTGGTCCATGTCGCTAATTCAGCCCTGCGAGGTTCTTCCGCCGCGAGTACTCCTCCTTCAGCGTCCACAGTAGTGCCTTCGAACAGAGATCAGGTACGATTGTGAAGACGTGCTCTGAAAGGAGAGAGAGAGAGAAGCATTTCTTTTAGTGCTCATCGTACCGTTCTTCTCTTCTCTTCTCTTCTTCAGCAGATTCAGTTGAAAGACCTCCTCAGGAGCGGCAGTGTGAAGGGCAGCAGTCTGATGGAGCTGATGAAGCTGAAGCCTCCACCTGACATTACTACACCAGTAGCAACGGCCACAGCAACAGGTCATTTACTGCTTCTCTTTTATCCATCAGGTCTGAGAAATATCAACATTTGTACAGTTCGATTAATATTTAGCGAACGGGCTTGTTGCAGTTTAACGAGGTTATAGACTTAAACTTTTCTTTATTGATCCTTTTCGGATGCCTCCCGCAAGGACATTGAATTTCCAGCAGCTTACAAAAACAGTGTAGAAAAATAAAGAGGTATAAAAAAATACAGTACAAGATAAACAGTATAAACAATAAACTCTTTGCTAGATATAGAAAGT